GCACTGTGTCAACTCCTTGGTCTGGAGTTGTGTCGAGAGATGTAGTTACAAGCCGGTTTTAGGATGGTACTTGTCAGGTGGAGTCAATGATGTGGGCCAGTTCAGATGCATCAAGTCGAATCAGGTGGAGTTGATGAAGTGGAGCCCCATTTTCTTTCCAAAGCATACTGGAAAAGGCAACAATAGTAAACATGAAGGAGGTTAGACTTTCATAAAAGAAATCCAAAGATGACAGTCCCTAATTTTGTTTTCTTCTGTCTTATATCAATGGTTCTTTGATATAATATAGAAATTCTGAATTTTATTTAAACAATATGCTTGAATTTAGAGGAGGAGAGCCAATCCAACTCCAAAGCCAGTTTCAGTTAAATGAATGGGGACTAATGCATATTAAGAAACAAGGAGAAATGGGTATTATAAAAAACAGTAGAAGCCGGGCAGTAGAAGCTGGGCGGTGGTGGCGCACGCCTTTAATCCCAGCACTCGGGAGGCAGAGGCAGGCGGATCTCTGTGAGTTCGAGGCCGGGCTGGACCGATAGCCTCCAAAACAGTACAGAGAAACCCTGTCTCGCAAAAACCAAAAAAAAAAAAAAAACCAAAAAAACAGTAGAGAGATTTAGACTTTGATACCACACAGTGAGTTATTGTTTGTTTGATGGTACTCAGAGTAGATAGTCTCTTTCAAGTATCCATACATCCAGTATCTTTTCGATGAGTTTTCTTGTGAAGATAAAAAACAAAACACTTCTCTTTCCTTTTATGAGGTCACCTTACCCATGGTATAATATGACCTTGTAGGTGAGCTGTCATCTTTCCTCCTCCTGAGGTGTCTTCTTTTCGGATAGAATCTTGATTAATTTCGATGGAATCTATAGTTTTTCTTCTCCTGTGGAAACAAAGGCAAAACCTCTTCCCCAAGGCAACACATATCCTGGTTTCCAGACTGAAGTCATAATGTCCTTGAAATACACCAGTTGGTTCAGTACTGAAGTTTTCTCTGTAGTCCAGTGTCTTTCTACAGCTGTTTGCCCTTTTTCATTAGTATTAAGAAAATTCAACATTAGTGAAGCATTATGTAACCTGTGTTTGGGTGTCTTTGTTCCCCCTGACTGATCATGAAGCTTTTCTTTTAAGGTTCGGTTAGATCTTTCAACCACTGCTTATCCTGTGGGATTGTAAGGTATACCAGTTACCTGTTTTATATTATGATATTTGAAAAACTGTTCCAATTTACTGGAGACATATGCTGGAGCATTGTCAGTTTTTATTTGTGCAGGTATATCCATAACAGCCATCACCTCTAAGAGGTTCTTAATAACAGAATAAGCCTTTTCAGAGCTGAGGGTAGTAGTCCATTGGAAGCCTAAGAACGTGTCTATGGTATGGTGTACATATTTCAAACTGCCAAATTCTGGAAAGTGAAAAACATCCAGCTGCCAAATTTCATTTCTGTGAATACCTTTGGGATTACTACCTGCTGGTAACAGAGTTTGATTGTAGAATGAGCAAGTGGGGCAATTTCTTACTATTTCCTTGGCTTGTTGCCAGGTGATAGAAAATCGTTCTCTAAACCTTTGCTGTTAACATAGTGTTTCTTATGAAATTATGAAGCTTCCAACACACTTCCTATTAATAAACGATCAATCACATCATTGCCTTGCGCCAGAGGACCTGGCAGACATGTATGGGATCTGATGTGTTATATATATATAGGATGAGTTCTGTTTCTGATGGTTTCCTGTAATTGTAAAATCAATGAGGTTAATTCTGTGCCACCATGAACAAATTCTGCAGTCTCAATGTGCAAGACAACTCTCCTTGCCAACTGAGATTCTGTAACTATATTGAGGGGCTCTGTAAAATCTTTAATTACCATGAGAATGGTGTAAAACTCTGCTTTTTGTACAGAGTTGTAAGGGCTTTGAACTACTTTACTTATATTTCCTGATTTATACCCTGCTTTACCTGATTTGTTTGCATCAGTGTAGAAGGTAAGAACTCCAGAAATAGGCATTTTTTTCTCACTATACGTGGAAGAATCCAAATTGTTTTCTTTATGAATTTGATTCTCTGTGTTTTGGGTGTAGTAGCACAGACTTCTAGTCACAGTACTTGTGCTAAGGCTTTGGGTGGTTGCTGAGATACAAACTCTGTCTTTTGAAAGAACACTAAGCCCTTCCCTTAGCTGTCAAGCCATCCCCCCCAGTGCCTAATGTGTTCTTAATAGTTTGTCTGGCCACTGAGTCCAGAGAGCTGTTCTGTCTGGGAGTTCAATATAGAATAAATTGGCCTATGTTTCAATGTGGTTTTCTTGATTCTGTATTTTACAATTACCATTGTAAATTGCCTGACTATGTATGCCTGTCCATTCACCCTCCCTGAATTTGGAGTCTACATTGAGGACCAGGTCACTATACTTCTGTGACCAAGACTTTCCACTCTTGTGGGAAGATTCTGTTACTAGTTGTCCACGAATTTAACATCTTCACAAAAGGGGAATGCAAACCACATGAGTCTATGACTATCTTAAATCTCTTCAAATCTAGCAGTTTCATATTTAACAATCACAGCAACCAATTATTTTAGGGAAAAACAAGAATTACCAAACTGAGAATGATTATAATTGACGTTATGTGAATAACAGCTAAGTTAATTATCCCCTAATTTAATTGTTTTATTTTCAAACCATCCAGTGTGTTATTATACAAAGACTTAACTTCATCGTAGTATTGTTTCCCATTTTTTAACATGAGAAAAAACTTTCTTTTATTTGTTTTGAATATAAACCGTCAGATACCCACAGATAAACACTGAGTTGAACTCCTGGAATCCAGTGTCAGAAAGGAAGAACTGGTGGGCAAAGGAGTTAATACTGGGCTGGTTTAACCCACAGAAACAGTTGACCTGAACAAGGGGGAGCTCTTGGACCCCAGATTTATGGCTGTATGGAAAGCATGGGACTGACCTAGACCCCCTGAATGTGGGTGTCAGTGAGGAGGCCTAGGTAATCTATGGGGCTTGGGTAGTATTTATCCCTGGCATACAAATAAACTTTGAGTGTCCATGCCACAATGTGGGATGCTCTCTCAGCCTGGACTCTTGAAGGAGGGCCTAGACCCTACCCTGGATGACATGACAGACTCTGGAGATCCACCATCGAGGGCCTCACCCTCCCTGGGGATCAGACTGGAGATTGGTTGGGGAACTGGGGGGGGGTCTGGTGGGGAGCGGTGGGGAGGAGGGGAGGGAGAGGGAGCTGTGATTGACAGGTGAAACAAGCTTGTTTCTAACTTAAATAAAAAAAGGAAGAAAAAAAAGAATTCCCAATTGTCTCACCAAATCTGCTGCTGCTGATGTTGAAGTGTGAGACCAACTACTGCTGCATATCCCCATGTCTAAGCATATAATACAGGCAGTGCAGAGACTGCCTGATGACAGGTGCTGCTTATCACCTGCCAGCAGCCTGAATAAGAAGTCCAGGGAAATCCCACCACCCACTTGTATGAAGGCAACAAAGAGCCCTCCATCTCCAAGGGGGAGCATGTGTAAGCAGCACGTGGCACCAGAGGGAAGGTAAAGGACAGAAATGGCAGGTGATGAGGGGCTAATTCCAGTGGTGTTCATAGCCTACAAGACTGTGGCATTTGGGGATTCTGGCATTTGCTTTGGAAAGGTTGCAACAGGAAAATCTCAGGCTTGCTTATAGCCCTCTGCGAAGAAACACAAAAACCTAGAGGATGGTGTGGTGACTCTGCAGGGTTTAGTTCTGGCATGTACTGACAGCTGCTGGTGGCTATGAGCATGTGACTATTTGGTAAGTTCATGCTCCAAAAGTTGGATGTCAGATGAAGTGCAAATGTAACTAATCTCATTAGTAAAAACCAGGAGTCAGATATCAGGGTAAAACCAGAAAGATCACAGAAGCAGTAGAGCAGCTACAGTCATTTCCTTCCTCTTTCATTACTCCAGTCAAATAGGGCCAGTATCCTGTCTCCACCCCACTTCATCACTTCCTGTTTCCTCTCTGTACAGACTTCTAGACCTACAGGGGTAACTAGCAGCTAGCCCTGCCTTCTGACTCCAAGCAGTTTCAATTTGTCAGAACACAAACAAAATCAGTATCATCACACTGAGGTCAGCTTGGGAGTTAAAATTCTACCACATTAGAGACAAAGCACCCTATCTTTATGGTTTTAGTAAGAAAGGGCTGACTTAAGCATGGAACAGAAGACTATTAGAAATTAGTCTGGTTATGAGGTTCTCACAGCTATTCATTCAGTACACAGGTAGCATGGTAAGGGGGTTCAAGACACAACTTGGGAGTCAAAGGGCTTTCTTCAAGATTCCTTAGATGTTATAACTTGATGCTTGGTAAGTCTTCCCCTGCCTTTATTTCTATGAACTCAGGGGTAATGTCTGTTATGACATTAACCATATGTGACAACAGAAAATACATCAGCATTGAACAGGGACTCCTGTATGAAAAAAGGTCCTGAGCTTAGGAACCAGGAACTGGGTGCCAGCAAGTTGGAAGACACTCTGTCCCCTCACTTAATGCACCTCTAATGAGTATCAATTCCATTGTATGCTAGAAAATTTCAGAAATAAGTTTATAAATATTATATATATATATCCCTCCTCCTCATTTATGATGTTACAAGCAGCCCACAAACTGAAAATTATTCCACATGACAAGGAAATGCCTTGGGGTATTTTGTTTGTTTCCTTGCTTTTTTCAGTTGTGTTTGGTGTTATCCTGTATTGCTGGGTTATCCAGCCTCTGCACTGGTTCTGGGCTATGCAGGCGGTGTCAAGCTTTGGCTCCTTCTTGTGGTATGATTTTGAATAGCATATGGGCTCAAGATCTCTTTGACCTAAATATTGAAGATTCTGATCTGGAAGTCCTGACAAACCCTCCCTCTAACACAGTTCAGTGAACTTCTACAACATTGTTGATTCACTTATGGTTTCAGTTTCTCTGTACTTTTCCCTACTCAAAGGTTACAGGGATTTTTATCTTTTGCTTACTTGGGGAAGTTCAGAAAGTCTCACATGATTGCAGGAGGAAATAAAAGAGAAAAGGGAAAGCCCATCCATCTGTGCTGAACAGCAAGAGCAGGTAAGAGGAGACACCCTTGCTAGGTCTGGGGAATTCTACTGGGGCCATAAATCTGGGCAGGAATGAGATGGGATTTTTAAGAGTTATTTTACCTTTTAGAACTACTGTGACTAGAAAAGATTGCTCCTGAGCAGGACTGGGACACAGAAACCAATGAACCTTGGGTGATGTCATTAGGGCAGCCAAACACTAAATGCCATCACTATACTAAATTTGTGTTAGGGACAGGGAGACATGTGACTGAAATAGGGCACAATATGCATTGGTATTGTCTTCCTTGGTGTTCATCTTGTCTGTGATGACAAGGACACAGTGAAATAACTGTGGTCAGTGATAGAACAGAACTTCTACTGAAGGGGCTGCCTGTGTCTGATTTTCAAGAGGGGAAATGGAATGAGGTGCAGGAAGAGCAACCGCCTTGGTGAAGGACAAAGAGAGGGAATGCTGTGTTACTATAGAAACACAGAGTGAGTATGAGAAGTGGTCTATTCTGTAGCTGACTATGGGTGACTGGTGGCTCCAGAACACAAGCTCAGCTTATGATACAAAGCATGTTCCAACTTGGCAAGTTAGTTGAAGTCTCTGTAGCAACAGAATAAAGAAAGATCATAGATCTAGGTACTTTTAAAGTACATTGGTGGCAATATGGGGGAGTTTGCTACAGGACTTCCGATACAATAAATGGCCATAGAGGCAGCTAAAGATGACTCAGGAAATTCTTGTTCCAGGCATTACAACATTCCAGATCTCCACAGTCACACAAATTATTATTAGTCAGTCAGCCTTAGCAGTGCACTGACACAATTATGACTGCTTTTCTGGTAACCTCAGGTCACAGCTGAAACCCAGATTGAAAGATGATGGATGGGCAGTCACTATCACACATCTGATCTTGGATGCCAAGTGGATATTCCTCCTTGATTGACCCATTTCCTCATAAGATTGGCTCATTCTTCATGTCCATGAACTTCTTAACGCTCCCCTGAAGGATCAGATCCTATACTGTAGTGAAGTGCTTTCTTAGAAGATCCCTGGACACACTAAGTCTGAGGACAAAGTTTGATTACCTTGTCCCCAACTCCAGGTCTGCAGGCATTTTTTCCTGTCTTCTGCAGACCAGAACTCCAGTGCAGAAACCATTCTCACTCATCACATTTTCTTTGACAGCTTTGTTCTGCCTGGTCAGATCCTAGCCTGTGACTCCCAGGGATTCTCTTCCTCCTCTTTGCATCTCTCATTTTTCTACCAGATGAAAACTATATAGAAAACCAAAGAAAAATGGCATAAGTTGTTAATCAAATCACCAACTACTAAATTCTTGTTTTTTTACATCACTGCTGCTTTGTGTTTTATTCAGTATTTACATAGTTGGGTTTAGTGTCATTTGCTGTAAGAGTAAACCCACTTTTCATTCATTGCTCATTCACATTTAATGAAGCTGAATTTTTAAGGTAGTCCTCTTGTGAAGCCATTTCTTTGGAAGAGACACTGTCACATACTTCCACAAAGCTTGAAAAAAACACATTATGTTGGTTTTCTTGGTGGAAAGACAATGTGATTAATTCTGTAGATACAGACTATTTGCCACTTGAGACTAACTACTAGCATAGACAGAGTGGATACATTTTATAATCTCTAGAAATTCTGGTGACATCATGGGTATAACTATATACATATATAACATAAAATATATATGTTTTATAATATCTATAAATCATTGTAAGGGCATTAATCAAACAATGAAGCACTAATTCCTTGGATTTTTATTTATTACAATGGTAAACTAGTGAATAAGTTGATATTATAATAATTATATAAGATGTAATATAAGATACTTTGATTTTATTTTCCATTTGATGTCTAGTATAAAAACAGTTAATAAGGAAATAAGGCAAAATTTTGTTGCAAAATTTGTGTTGTAAGCAGTATAATGTTGTCACTGTCACATTATAAATTAAATTCTTCAAAAACAGCTTATACAACAGCTTATATGATTTCAAAATTATATGGGTTTCTTTCAACTATGCTTCTGATGCAGCCAGCAGTGCTATGTTTTCTGCAAGTTTCAATACTTTATCTTCTGAGAGAAAGAATAAGATTCTAGCTAATCTTATCTGTTACTCTATACACAGGGAACAGGGCTACACAATGGCCTCAGAGGGCATTATGCCAGGCCCCATGTGCCTCATCGAGAACGTGAAAGGTCAACTGATAGCCAACCAGGAGGCTCTGGAGATTCTGTCTGAAATCATGCAGCCTGTGGTAGTGGTGTCCATCGTGGGCCTCTACCGCACAGGCAAGTCCTACCTGATGAACAAGCTGGCTGGGAAGAGAACAGGTGAGAGCCACCAACATAGCTGTGCTGGGTCCCAAGAGTACACTCACCTTGTTTGCTTCCTGCTTGAAAGTGTGAAGAACTTAACCTTCCTGTCACAGTTAGATATTGGGATCCTTTTTGTTGTTGTTACTTTGTCTGTTTGCTTTTATTTTGGAGACAAGGCCATGCTATGTAGCACAAGCAGGTATTTAGCTCAGTGTGTAGTCTAGGTTGACCCTGAACTCATGATCTTCTTGTCCTCCTGAGAGGTGACTGCAGGACTGCATCAGCACATCTAACTCCTAGTGTGCCATCTAAAAGCACAACTGGTTTCTTTCCTAGATGGAGAAATGCAGTAATAAAGATAATTTAATTTATATGTTAATAAATTTTAAGGTATCCCTAAATCTGTCATGTAATAACAGCAAGTTTGTACTGATCTTCTAGGTTGTATTAGTCTCATCACTGATCAAATGCCAGATGGCACAATGTAAGGAAGAAGGGTTTGCATTGCTCACAGTTCAGGGGAGAGGGCGGGAGAGACAGGATTATGTGGCTGTATGTGTAATGGTGGGAGCTTGTGTCTTGTTCATTTCATGGCTGAGCAGGAAGCAGAGAGCAGAGGGCCATAATCAAGGCCAGCAATGACCTCCAAACGATCATCCTCTGCCATTCAGGTCCTACCTCCTAGCTTCCACATCTTCCACCACAGTGTCAGCAACCAGGGACCAAGTGTTCCAATACATGGGCCTGTGATGAACATTTCCATTTAAACCATATTATTCTGCCCTAGCCCCCAAAACAACTTGGACCAACTAATGAAGTTGCCAAAGTCTTTTAGTTCTAACAGTGTATAAAAGTCCACCAGCTCTTCTGAGACTCAAGGCAACCTGTAGTTTACAGAATAATCATCTCCATTTTCAGTGTTCAGGGAACTAGGAAGGAACAAACATACCATAGCAAGACTCATCCAAAGGGCAAACACCAAACCCTGTAGTTACATGTACAGTACATAGGAGACGTGGTGGCCTTCAGTAGACAACATCAGTCTGCAAATCCTAGCTCTAGGGTCCTGCTTTTTTTTAGGACACAAGGGTCCTCTTTATGGCCAGGTCCACTCACTAACTCTGGCTTTCCTCAGTGGGCATCCCAAAGTCTTGGTATCTCTATCTTTTTGGGGTCTCAATTTTTACTTCAGCTTTACAGTCACTGCCTCACACACCAAGCTCAGGAGCTACAAATGTGATAATTATTCTACTATACACGTTCTATGAACCCTAGTGCAAGTTTGGAAGTCTTATGACTTGCATTCTGAATATCTGAAAAATGAACTTTTGTTATGTCTCTGATTGAGAGATCAGTACTAGCTTTGGGTTCAGTTAATTCTCTTGACTTGACTTTGCTGAATTTCAATAGATATTTATTTTAATTTTATATGCTTGAGTATTTTGCCTGTGTACCACATACATGCCTGGCATGCACACATGCTAGAAAGGGGCACAATGTTTCCTGAAACTACAGCTGTGAGATGCTATTTAGGCTCTGAGAACTGAACTCTTGTCCTCTGAAAGAGCAGTAGCCACACTTAACCACTGAGCCATTTTTCCAATTGGATTGTGTTAATTTTATTTTCCCTTTCAGGAATCCCTTGTTCCTACACATCTAATCCTCTTTTCACTTCTCTGCTTTGCAGGCTTCTCTCTGGGTTCCACAGTGCAGTCTCACACCAAGGGGATCTGGATGTGGTGTGTGCCTCATCCCAAGAAGGCAGACCACACCCTAGTTCTTCTTGACACTGAAGGCCTGGGAGATGTAGAAAAAGTAAGAACAGAGAGCACAGTCTGCAACTCATCGCCTCATCTCTGAGTATTCCACACTGTTCTCTGTGCTGTTTTAAACCTCTTATATTCATTTATTGTGTGTTTGTATTTTGTGTGTGGGAGAGAGAGAAAGAAAAAGAGCAAGAAGGAGACAGAGAGGGCAAGAGAGAGAGAGAGAGAGAGAGAGAGAGAGAGAGAGAGAGAGAGAGAGAGAGAGAGAGAGAGAGAGAGAGAGAGAGAGGGAGAGAGAAAGTCTGCCTGCTTGAACATGGACAGGCATCTCCTGTGTCCTGGTGCATGTTCTACAATGCTTGTGGAGGTCAGAGGACAGCATGTGGGGTCAGTTCTCTTTTCCACCATGTGGATTGAACTCCGATACTTGGCTGAAAGCATTTTTCTTCACCCAGTCTTCTCACTGGTAATCTAGTTTTTTTCAAAAAGCGTTTGAACTTCATCATAGCATCCTTTTCATTTTTACATACTTGACATGTAGTCATGTTTCGTGAACAAAGAGGAGGGAAATAATCAGAAGGGGGAGTCACATAGCAGCATGTTGCTATTCTGTAGCACTGAAACTCTCACAACAGACTAAGCAGAACTAGTGAGTGGCATCACAAATAAAACCACAACCCAAAAGAACATGCACCCTCCAAGTGCTGTGGATGGCATGATGTAGGTTTCTTGTTATTTCTTTTGGTTTTGTACCTTGCACATGTTACAAAGATTTCTCTTTTATTTTAGGCAAATGTGCCTTTTAATGAAGTCAGCATATTTTACTGCTATAGTGTGATAGCCACCCCTCTTACACTGATAGCACTGACCACTCCCATTTGGGTGTAGTCTCAGGTGAGGATGTGATGGAGCAAGGATTAGATGTGGTGTCCCCGGAACCCAGAGCTCTCTTGCCTCAGGTTGGGTCACAGGGATCAGCCTTGGAGGGTCTTTGGAACTGGAACATGCAGTGGTAATTCACCTCATTGTATGTGCATTCTCCTTGAATAAACTTCACTTAACCTGTACTGAGTCTAGAGAATCTTGATTCCCATGCAATGTACCATTGGTGATCTGAAAGTGACATAAGAACCAAATCTACTCCTGTCCTATGTGTGTTCTGACTTCCAGGGTGACAATCAGAATGACTGCTGGATCTTTGCCCTGGCTATACTTCTAAGCAGCACTTTTGTGTACAACAGCATGGGAGCCATCAACCAGCAGGTCATGGACCAGCTGCAGTATCCCTTTTGTGTGTCAGGAAAGGTCCAGGGCGAGTGGGGCCACCTACCTTCATGAACCAAATCCATGACTCTGGCTCTTGGTTAATGAAATAACAAACAAAACCCTCACATATATGTACCTATAGTGTTCACACTGTTAGGAACAAGACAAAAGAAGGTTAGGGACTAGATTCCAGGAAGATGTGGAATTATGTGGAGTGGGGACTCTGGAGCTTTGGTTGGTGCTATGATTGCTCCTGATGCTTTCCTTAATTAGCTGCTCAGCTATGTGACAGAGATGACAGACAGAATCAGATTAAGGTCCTCACCTGACCAGGATAAAGTGAATGACTCAGATGATTTTGCGAGCTTCTTCCCAGACTTCGTGTGGACTCTGAGGGACTTCTCTCTTGAGCTGAAAGTAAATGGGAAACCCATTTCTGCAGATGAATATCTAGAGAATTCGCTGATGCTTACACATGGTAAGAGACTCACCGTGGCTAAATGAGGATGCCAATTAAACCTATGAGAATTCAGATTTTTTTCTGTGCATAATTTTCACATATCTGCAGTTTCTGTTTCTTCTAGCTAGCTTATCCTAAGGATCAGTGCTTAATATATGATTTAATAGATTGACTCAAACATTTTGTCTTTTTTAATAAGAACAAATTGATTTGTCCTTCACCTTTTACTTTATAGTTATTTACTTGATCTCTTTTCTTAAGACTTGTTTTTGTTTTGAACTAGACAATTATAGTGTTACCAATATCCTAGCCCAATTGTTGGAACAATGTGGCTGCCAACTTCCAGTTGTCTTTGGAAATCAAATGATGCTGTACTCTTGAGTTTACATATTGTCTCAGCACATAGTCCAGCTACACTAAGTGGGTTGAAAACGTAGAATGAAGAATTCTTTCTTTTCCTAAGATGCCTAACAGAGCATTCAGCTTTATGCTAGACTGAAAATCCTCAAAGCAAACATCAACCCTCTTTTCTGTTCTTTTGCTTTGTGTTTTCAGGGTCTCCCTGTCTGACCCATGTTGACCTCAATTTATAATCTTCCTGCCTCAGCTTCTAGTATACTAGGATTACAAAAGCTCACATGACCAAATTTAAAAATGCATACTCACCTTCCATGTCCTGACTGAAATCTTGTTTTGTTTTATCTAGGTACTGGCCAAACAGATGAACAAAAGAAATTGAGTCTACCTCAGCTTTATATCCATAAATTCTTCCCAAGGAAGAAATGCTTTATCTTTGAGCGGCCAGTATATAGTAAGAACATTGGCGAGCTGGAATCCTTACAGGATGAAGACCTTGACTCAGATTTTTTGAAACAAGTGACAGAGTTCTGTTCCTATGTGTTCAGCGTTTCCAAGGTTAAAACGCTTTCAGGTGGCATCAAGGTCAATGGACCACGTGAGTCCCTTCCTAGTCCTTCTATGCATTGTTTAGGCCCCATTACCATGAGACAGCCAAAACCAATTTCAGTTTCAAAGAAATGTAAACCTATCACTGCTGCAGCATTTATATAATATCATATTTCCTTTTTTGGTAGAAGGAAAATGGGGTAAATGATAAAAAAATTTAAATTATTCTAGTAAACTGCACACACCAGACAGCTATTAAACAATGATGTCATTTTTCCATTTTTTATTTAAATTAGAACAAGCTTGCTTCACAAGTCAATCACAGCTACCTCTCTCTCCCCTCCTTCCCTGGTCCCACCAAACCCTAACCCCCCACCCATTCCCCACACCACTCTCCAGGGAGGGCAAGGACCTTTGAGCAGGATCTCCAAAGTCTGTCATATCACCTGAGGCAGAGCCCAGGCCCTCCCCATGTGTCCAGGCTGAGAGAGCATCCCTCCATGTGGAATGGGCTTCCAAAGTCCTTTCAGATGCCAGGAATCAATACTGATCTAGTACACAAGGATTGAAAGATTGCAGGGGCCTCCTCACTGACACCCAGGGTCAGGATCTGGATCAGTCCCATGCTGGCCTCTCAGGCATCAGCCTGGAGTTCTTGAGCTCCCCCTTGTTCAAGTCAGCTGTTTTTGTGGGTTTCACTGGCCCAGTCATGACCACTTTGCTCATCACTCCTCCCTATCCGCAACTGGTTTCCAGAACTTCAGTTGAGTGTTTAGCTGTGGGTGTCTGCCTCTGTTCCCATCAGCCACTGGATGAAGGCTCTAAGGATGACATATAAGGTGGATGTCAAACTCACTACCAGGGAAGGGCATTTAAGGTAGCCTCTCCATTATTGCTTAGATTGCCAGTTGGTGTCATCTTTATAGATCTCCTGAAATCTCATTAGTGCCAGCTCTCTCCTCAAACCTATAATGACTCCATCTATTATGAAGTCTCTCCTGCTTTCCTCTGTTCTTCTCCCAAATCAACCTGCCTGCTCCCGCATGTCCTCCTTTCATCTTCTCTGCTCCCCCTCACTTTCTCCAGCTCCCTCTCCCCTCCATCCATGCTCCCAGTCCACTCAGGTGATTCTGTCGCATTCCCCTTGTCTGGGGTAGCATATCTCTCTTAGGGTCATCCCTGATTCCCAGACTCTTTGGCGGTTGGATTGTAGGCTGGCAATCTCTGGCTTCATGTCTAAAATCCATATATGAGTGATTACATACCATATTTGCCTTTTTGGTTTGCGACACTCAGGATGGTTTCTTTTAGTGCCATCCATTTGCCTGTGAATTTCAAGATTCCATTGTTTTTTTTCTGCTGAATAGTACTCCATTGTGTAAATGTACCACATTTACACATTTTCTCTATCCACTCTTCAGTTGAGAGGCATCTAGACTGCTTCCAGGTTCTGGCTATTACAAATATTGCTGCTCTGAACAGATGACATTGCTGTGTGAATACACATCTTTTGGGTATATGCCTCAGAGTGGAATTGCTAGATCTAGTGGTAGACTGATTCTCATTTTCCTGAGGAATCTCTATACTGATCTCCAAAGTGGCTGAAAAAGTTGACACTCAGCAATAGAGGAGTTTTACCTTTTCTCCACATCCTCTTCAGCATAAACTGTCATTGGTGTTTTTGATGTTAGTCATTCTGATGGGAGTAAGATGGTATCTCAGAGATGCTTTGATTTGCATTTCCCTAATGGCTAAGGATGTTGAGCACTTTCTTAAGTGTCTCTCAGCCATTTTAGACTCCTCAATTGAGAATTCTCTATTTTGTTCTGTAGCCCACTTTTTAGTTGGATCGTTTGGTGCTTTGGAAACTTGCTTCTTGAGTTCTTTGTAAATTTTGGAGATCAGTCCACTGTCAGATGTGGGGGTTAGTGAATGTCTTTCCCCAATCTGTGGGCTGCCTTTTTGTCTTGTTGACTGTGTACTTTGCCTTACAGAAGCTTCTCCATTTCAGGAGGTCCCATTTGTTACTTGTTGATTTCAGTGCTTGTGCTACTGGTATTGTGTTCGGAAGCTGTCTCCTCTACCAATTCATTCAAGCGTACCTCCCACTTTCTCTCCTAAGATGTTCACTGCGGCTGGATTTATGTTGAGGTCTTTGATACATTTGGACTTATGTTTTCAGCATGGCGATAGACATGGACCTTTCTGCAGCCTTCTATATGCCAGCATCCAGTTCTGGCAGCACCATTTGTTGAAGATGCTTTCTTTTTTCCATTGTATGATTTTAGCTTTGTCAAAAATCAGGTGTTCATAGATGTGTGGTTTAATATCAGTGTTTTCAATTCTATTCCCTTGGTCTACGTGTCTATTTTTGTGCCAATACCAAGCTGTTTTCAGGAGTATAGCTCTGAGCGTTCCTTTATTGTACAGGGTTGTTTTGGCTATCATGGGTCTTTTGTTTTTCCTTATAAAGCTTTTATTGTTCTTTCAAGTCTGCAAAGAATTTTGCTAGTATGTTGATAGGGATTGAATCTGTAGACTGCTTTTGGCAAGATTGCTATTTATACTATGTTAAGCCTATGTATCTGAGCATGCGAGATCTTTCCATTTTCTGGTATCTTCTTTAATTTCTTTCTTTAAAGACTGAAAGTACTTGCTATACAGGTCTTTCACTTGTTTTGTTAGCATGACCCCAAGATATTTTTTTTGTTGTTTGTGACTATTGTAAATGGTGATGTTCATATATCTTATTTTCTTTTTTCCAATATTTTTTTTATTTAAGTTGGAAACATACATGCTTCCCATGTGAATCTCAGCTACCTCTCCCACCCCTCCTCCCTTGACCCTCCAATAACCCCTTCTAGTCCCCCACACACTCCCCATACCATTCCCCAGGGAGGATGAGGCCCTCCATGGGGGATCTCCAGAGTCTGTCATTTCATCCAGGCCGATAGAGCATCCCTCCATGTGGAATGGGCTCCCATGTTCATTTGTATGCCATGGTAAACACTGATCTACTACCCAAGGCCCCAGAGATTGCTGAGGCCTCCTCACTGATACTAAATTCAGGGGGTCTTGATCAGTCTCCTGCTGGCCTCTAAGCCATCAGTATGGGGTCCAAGAGATCCCCCTTGTCCAGTCAGCTGTCTTTGTGGGTTTCACCAGCATGGTCTTGACCCCTTTGCTCATCACTCCTCCATCTCTGTCACTGGGTTCCAGGAGTTCAGTTCAGTGGTTAGCTGTGGGTATCTGCCTCTGCTTCAATTAGTCACTGGATGAAGGCTCTAGGATGGCATATAAGGTAGTCCTCAATCTCATCATCAGGGAGGGGATATTAATGCAGTCTCTCCACTATTGCTTAGTTTGCCAGTTGGTGTTATCCTTGTAGATCACTGGAAATCTCACTAGTGTCAGCTCTCTCCTCAAACTTATAATGATTCCCTCTATCATCCTGCTCTCCTCTATTCTTACCCCAAATCAACCTTCCTGCTCTCCCATGTCTTCTTCTCCCCACCTCTTCCCCCGCATCTCTTTTTCCTGGTTCCCTCTCCCCTATATCCATGTTCCCAATCTTCTCAGGAGATCTTGCCTCATTACACTTCTCTGGGGTACCATGCATATCTCTCTTGTGAACCGCCCTGCTTCCCAGACTCACTGGCAATGGGATTGTAGGCTGACATTTCCCTGATCCATGTTTAAAATCCATATATGAGTGAGTACATACCATGCTTATTTTTGTGACTGGGTTGCCTCACTCAGGATGACTGCTTCTAGTGCCATCCATTTGCCTGCAAATTTCAAGATTCCATTGTTTTTTTTCCCCGCTGAGTAGTACTCCATTGTGTAAATGTGCCACATTTTTTCTATCCACTCTTCAGTTATGGGGCACCTAGGATCTGGCTATTACAGATAATGCTGCTATGAACATAATGGAACAAACATCCTTGTTGTATGAATGGACATTTTTTGGGTATATGCCTAAAAGTGGAATTGCTGGCTCTTGCGGTAGACTGAACCCCAATTTCCTGAGGAATCTCCATACTGATTTCCAAAGTGGCTGTACAATTTTCACTCCCACAAGCAATAGATGATTGTTCCCCTTTATCCACATCCACTCCAGCATAAGCTATCATTGGTGGTTTTAATTTTAGCAATTCTGACAGGAGTAAGATGATATCTCAGAGATGCTTTGATTTGCATTTCCCTAATGGCTAAGAATGTTGAGCACTTTCTTAAGTGTCTCTCAGGCATTTTAGACTCCTCTATTGAGAATTCTCTGTCTAGTTCTGTAGCCCACTTTTTAATTGGATCCTTTGATGTTCTGGAAAATTGCTTCTTGAGATCTTTGTAAATGTTGGAAATCAGGCCTCTGTCAGATGTAGGGTTAGTGAATATCTTTTCTCATTCTGTGGGGTGCCTTTTTGTCTTGTTGACTGTGTCCTTTGCCTTAGAGAAGATTCTCAATTTCAGGATGTCCCATTTATTAATTGTCGATCTCAGTGTCTGTGCTACTGGTGTTATGTTCAGGAAACGGTCTCCTGAACCAATTCGTTCAAGGGTACCTCCCACTTTCTGTTCTAAGAGGTTCAGTGTGGTTGGATTTATGTTGAGGTCTTTGATACATTTGGACTTAAGTTTTGTGCATGATGATAGACATGGATCTATCTGCAGTCTTCTACATGCTTATATCTTGTTATGCCAGCACCATTTGTTAAGATGCTATCTTTTTTCCATTGTATAATTTTAGCTTCTTTGTAGAAAATCAGGTGTTTGTAGGTTTGTGGGTTAATATCAGGGTGTTCAATTCGATTCTATTGGTCTACCTGTTTATTTTTGTGCCAATACCAAGCTGTTTTCAGGAACATAGATCTAAATTAGAGCTTGAAGACAGTGATGGTGATGCCTCCAGATGTCGCTTTGTTGTTGAGCAGAGCTGTCTTGGCTATCCTGGGTCTTTTGTTTTTCCATATAAAGTTGAGAATTGCTTTTTCATGGTCTTGGAAGAATTGTTCTGGGATTTTGATGGGGATTGCTTTGAGTCTGTAGATTGCTTTTGGCAGGATTACCATTTTTACTACGTGGGTCCTACCTATCCAAGAGCATGGGGGATCTTTCCATTTTCTGGTGTCTTCTTTAATTTCTTTCTTTAAAGACTCAAATTCTTTTTTTTTCTTCAGGAAAGTTCTTTATTTAAATGGCAAAGTGTATGACTTAAAGAACACTAGTGAACTTCATTTCTCAAGGATTTAATAACATCTAACTTTAGTTTTAGAGAAACTTAGCTGGCCATTTAAAAACTTGTCAGGTTGTAGAGAAAAAAAAACAGTTGATATTATAAAGACTCAAATTCTTGAAATACAAGTCTTTCACTTGTTTGGTTAGTGTTACCCCAAGGTATTTTATGTTGTTTGTGGCTATTGTAAAGGGCGAATGCTTCTCTAATTTCTTTCTCATCCCTTTTTACAGGGCTACTGATTTTCTTGAGTTGATCTTGTATCCTGCCACTTTACTGAAGGTGTTTATCAGTTGAAAGAGTTCACTGCTGGAGTTTTTTTGGGCCACTTATGTAAACTATCATATTGTCTACAAATGGTGAAAGATTTACCTCTTCCTTTCCAATTTATATCCCCTTGATCTCCTTTTGTTGTTGTATGGCTCTAGCTAGAACTTCGAGTACAGAATTAAAGAGGTATGGGCAGAGGGGACAGCTTTGTCTTGCTCCTAATTTTAGAGGAATTGTTTTGAGTTTCTGTCAGTTTTGTTTGATGTTGGCTGTTGGTTTGCTGTATATAGCTTTTATTATATTTATGTATGTTCCTGGTATCCCAGATCTTTTTCATGAATGGGTGTTGGATTTTGTCAAAGCCTTTTCAGCATCTAGATGATCATGTGATTTTTGTTTCTCAGCTTATTTATATGGTGGATTACATTGCTGGATTTTCATATGTTGAACCATCCCTGCATCCCTGGAATGAAGCCTACTTGATCATGGTGGATGAGTTTTCTTATGTGTTCTTGGATCTCATTTGCCAGTAATTTATTGAGTATTTTTGCATCAATGTTCATGAGGGTAATTGGTCTAAGTTCTCTTTCTTAGTTGTGTCTTTGTGTAGCTTGGTTATCAATGTTATTGAAGCCTTGTAAAAAGAGTTTGGCAAAGACCCTTCTGCTTCTATTGCATGGAATACTTTGAGAAGGATTGGTATAAGCTGTTCTTTGAATTTCTGGAAAAATATTCTGCACTGAAGCAATCTGGCCCTGGGCTGTTTTTGGTTGGGAGACTAATACTCTGGTTTCTCTTCAGATCTTATAAATCTTTTGTCTTGTACTGATGTGTTTTTGGATTTGATTTGCTAGTATTTTATTGTGTATTTTTGCATCAATGTTCATGATGGATATTGGTCTGAAGTTCTCTTTTTTATATGTGTCTTTGTGTGGCTTGGGTATCAAGGTTATTGAAGCCTCATAAAAGAGTTTGGCAAAGACCCTTCTGCTTCTAGTCCATGGAACACTTTGAGGAGAATTGGTATAAACTGTTCTTTGAATTTCTGGTAAAATTCTGCACTGAGGCCATCTGGCCCTGGGTTTTTTTTTGGTTGGGAGACTTTTGATGACTGCTTCTATTACCTTAGGTATTATGGGTCTATTTAAATTGCTTATCTGTTCTTGATTTAATTTTGGTAAGTCATATCTATCCAGAAAATCATTCATTTCCTTTAAATTTCCTGGTGTCTGCTCCTCTGGGGTGAGTTTCCTTCTTATTGTTCTAGAGCTTTGAGTTGTGCTGTTAATTGTTTAGTGTAGCTATTCTCCAGTTTCTTCATGTGGGCACTTAGTGCTGTGAACTTTCCTCTTAGCACAGCTTTCAAAGTGTCCCATAAGTTTTGGTATGTTGTGTCTTCATTCTCACTGAATCCTAGGGATGACTTTAATTTTTAAAAATTTCTTCTTTGACCTAGGAATGGTGCAATTGTGCATTATTCAATTTCCATTAATTTTTAGGGCTTCTGCAATTTGTGTTGTTGAATTGTAACTTTAGAGCATGGTGATCTGATAAGATACATGCAGTTTTGCAATTTTTTTACCTGTTGAGGTTTGCTACATTGTCAAATATGTGGTCAATTTTTGAGAAGGTTCCATGAGCTGCCGACAAGAAGGTATATTCTTTTGTGTTTGGATGGAATGTTCTATAGCGATCTGTTAAACCGAATTGGGCCATAACTGCATTCACCAGACAGTGATTAATGAATCATGGCTCTTTAACTTTACATTTCAGCACAATAAAATCCACACAGAGCTTGTCATTGTCACATTAGCACATACATAAATTTCTCTTGGATAAAGAAATTTATTGTAATCAACCTGATGGAGAATTTGTCACTGGGAGTGCATGTTTCATTACTAAATTGAAATGAAATGCTTACTATAGACAGGGCTGGTGGTACAGGCAAACATGACAGAGGTATGGAGCCTGTTCTCACGGTGCTTGCATTGAAACAGACACAAACATTCCACAGACACCAGCCCATGTAATCTCCATCGAGCATTCATAGCTTTTGAGGTCTCACACGTCATGAGAAGATCTTTGCACAGAGGAAAGTCTATTCCCATCTTTGTGATATAGAGGTTGAGCTGATTCTGTCTGTAACTCTTCCTAATGATGATAAGGACATGACTCTTTAAGACATCACAGATTGACACATCCAGAATTATAAAGAATAGTATTGCCATCCTTCATCTGTCGCAAATGATGTCATCTGTTTCCTGTTTATAGGACTAAATAATTTGGTGGTAACTTATGTGAACACCATCAGTAGTGGGAGTCTGCCCTGCATAGAGAATGCAGTCCTGGCTTTGTCCCAGACAGAGAATGCAGCTGCAGTGCAAAAGGCCATTGCCCACTATGACCAGCAGATGAGCCAGAAGTTGAAGCTGCCCACGGAGACCCTCCTGGAGCTGATGGACGTGCATAGGGCCAGTGAGAAAGAAGCCATCAAGATCTTCAGGGAAACTTCCTTCAAAGACATTAATCAAGAGTTCATAACACAATTAGCGGTAATTTTCCTCTCAGATTTGCCTGGATATAGATTTTGGAAGGCAATGTGCTGTGAGGAAATGAAGTCAGCGTTTGAGGCAGATTTTAGAGTAGTAACAACTACCTCTTAATAATCATACTAAATGGGACAAAAATGGATTATCATAGATCCAAAGCTTTAAAATATTTCTCCATTCAAAATAAGCTAGTAATGTACCCCATTCACTGAATGAAGCACAGAGAAGTAACTTGTGTCTGATCAAGTTGCATATCCAGTCAGTAGACTGATTCAGTGTTCAATCCAATAGTAAAGCTATATAGGCTTGAGTTATCAGAGGCAAATTGCTACTGAGCCGTGTTTACTTCATGTGGCATCTCTAGTCCAGTGTGAAATCAGTTTACTTCCAAATGTGTAAATCTCTCTTCTGAACTCCACTGCCAAGGACGAAGGATATCAGTAAAAACCTGTCATCAGGGGAAAGATGCAGTTATAGTCAGTGCTTATAAGTCTTCCTTTGTTTGTTTTTCGTGTTTGTATTTGCTTTGAGAAATGCACCAGAAATTCTAACCTCATGCTTCTTTCCCTTCTTAATGAATTTTCTTTCATTTTTTCACATCAAAGACCGAGTTAGAAACAAAGCAAAGGGAATTCCTTAAGAAGAATGAACAGGCATCCTCAGATCGCTGCTCAGCTCTGCTTCAGGATATTTTCAGTCCACTAGAAGAAGACGTGAAGCAGGGGATTTATTACAAACCAGGGGGATACCATCTTTTTATCCAGAAGACACAGGAATTGAAGAAAAAGTACTATGAAGAACCTGGGAAGGGGCTTCAGGTAACCAAGGTTACATGTATGTTCTGAGAAGCTGTTTGACCTCCTTCAGAATCCACTGTGACCCCCAAAACATCACTGTGAGAGTGTCTTAGTGTTTGCATTCCAGGCATATTCTCCTTCAACATCACACTGTGTATGCCCGGCTTATTCAGGGACAGAGCACACCTTATTGACTGAGTTCACAATGAACAATCCTATTAACCACCGGTATGACTGTTATCTTGTGTTTCGTCTAGATTCTTTGTGCTGCAAAAGACCTAATGTTAGCCTCTTAAATAAACTTCGTCAGTTTTGGCTTGAAATTAGCTTTAAAAGACAATTGGGTGTGTTAATATCATCCCATGTCTCGCCTTATACAGGTGTTTGAGAATCTGAGAATAATCTACCACAAATATGTGGTTTGAGCAGGCAAAATAATATTTTAAAAACTGATAGATCAGGGACGTGTCAGGTTTCAGGATCCAGACTGTATGTGTCAGGGACAGTGGGTTTAAAGGGGAAAGGAGAAAGAGTGAGTTCCTGAGTCCAATCCAATCATAATATAAGACAGGGATAAGCAGTCGGGGTCTTTCTAGGGTGGTGCACTTTCACTCTATCAAGAAATCCTTTTATTTATGGCATGTCTCCAGTGGTGTGGCCAACCAATCAGAAGGGATGGAATGTTTGTGTATAGCCTTATTTTAGACACCTGTGCAATGGGGTTTGTGCATTTCAGCTTAACCTCAGGAAATTGGGGGTAACAGCTTAGGGCAGAATGGACTTGAACAAAATGGAGTTCATGCTGGTAACTAAGATCTAATATTCCCTCTTCATCTAGTGAGTCATCAAATTATTGATGTCAGGGGTTTAGACCCTGTAAGGGGCCATGTTGGTCTCAAGAATATGAGCTTAACTGAATTTATCCCCTGTGGAATGAAGCAGGAGAGAGTTTAGCAGGGAGCATGCATATAGCATGATTAACAGATATATGGCTAACAACCCTACTATTCCCATCATCAAGGTAGTGATCCATGGTGACTGTGGGAAATTGTTTTGAACCAGTCCCATGTAGCTGATTGAGTCTGTGCTCCTTTCTTTAATCTTTGTCTGACTACGTTTAGACTCTCTCTGATTACTCCTGTGTGGTAGTCATAGAAGCAGCATAATTTACACAGGACTATACAAAGTACTTCTTATTGCAGTAATAGAAGGGCTAATCCTCTGTTGTTCTATGGAACCAACTCCACCAAAGAATCAAGAGAGGAGGTAAGATGGTTCATGGATTTTTCTAGAGTAGCCAAATCTTGGTCAATCTGACTCCCCAGAGTCCTGGAATTTAGCTGTCCCTCAGTGAGGACTTAGTTATGGACACCAGCTTATCCTGACACAGCTAGGCCATTAGTAAAGCCTATGGCAAGAGAGGTAAAGTTTGAGATGCTCCCAACCTCTCCACAATAATAATAATAGATTTGGAAGAGAAGCTTGACCAAGATGCAAAACTGTAGGATTCTTATTCAATAGAGGGACTTATAAAGGGAGTAAGCCTGTAGGAGCCAGCAAAACCAAGAGCTCTGGGGTGGTACCAAGAATAGTGTGAAGGTTTCTCATATTTAGGGGCTACAGTTTAAGGGTTTTGTTATAATATCTCTGGTTTCCGGAGTGCCCCATGTGATTAATCAAAGAGTGGAAGCAATTCCCTTGCCCCTTTATGCAGCCGAATATAATTTTGACTTCTTTTTTTCAGGATCGGAGATGAATATTGCTATTTTCAGTGACAGACAAATTTCTGATATGGTATTTCTTGACACCCATTCCTCCTGGGTTTCTTATCCCAATATAAAATGGAGGTGGGTCTGGGGTCAAGACAAAACTAACAGTTCTGTGTGAGATCTGGAGAGGAGGAGTTTAAAAGGTTGAATACTTACTATACTGAGAGAAGGGCTCCAAATTTCTTTTTTGGGCTGGCTAGGGACTGGAGGCCAGGTCACTTCCAGTCCTCCTTGTGGAGCCAGAGTAGGTATGGTGGTAGGACTGAAACCTCTCCCCCATCTGAACAGGGTTCAGTATTCAATTAGTGCCAATAGTTTCTGGGCTCCTGTGGAGGAAACTTCTGAATGCTGAAATTATTTTAGGATCTGGAAGGAACAGGTTGCACATCCAGAGTTCCCATCTTTCTCACTGTCCAGGCAGTGGACAAACCAAGATAAACAGCCAATTTTACTAGGTGTAGCTTTCCTACCTGCTGGCTAGATCAGTGTCCCTCCCTTCTAATATGGTCATTGTCCCTTCCATGCTTCTCTACCCATGCCCTAAGTGTCTCACATTCCCAGGAGGAGCAGTAATAATTCTCTTGTCCTGCACAATTTGGTTTTCCAACTGGGCAAGCATAGAATGAATATGTTGCCAGGTTGATCTACAGAGCAGGATGCCCACAGCCAAAGTCATGATATCCAAAATTATTTCTGTCAGGCCCCTGATCCTGTGTGGGTGGTGGTGGAACAACCTAGCAGGGTGCAGAGATCCACATGAAACATGGGGGACTCTTATGGAGTGACATTTGTAATCATAGTCCAATCTGTAGTGTGGCATAGGGACCATAAGATCAGGACTGACATGTGTGGGTTGGTGGCACTTACCAATTCCATTAGGGGGAATAGCAAAGTCAGGTAGAAAAGAATCTTATCTTTAGTGGGTCCTCTGGGTGAGGCATATAGACTGTCTTTTCTTTTTGTCCTAGTTTTTTTTTTTTTTTGGTTTTTCGAGACAGGGTTTCTCTGTATCGTTTTGGAGGCTATCGGTCCAGCCCAGCCTCGAACTCACAGAGATCCGCCTGCCTCTGCCTCCCGAGTGCTGGGATTAAAGGCGTGCGCCACCACCGCCCGCCCCTGTCCTAGTTTTATCATTTGTATGGAACTGGCTTTAAATGTGTGTGATGTACACAGGATTTAATTTTGTCTACTTTCACTGCTGAGGGGATGGTCAATATTATGGTGTAAGGTCCCTTTCATAGAGGCTTCAAACACTCCTCCTGGTGATTTCTAACCCAGTCAAGGTCTCCTGGCTGGGAGCTATGTGTTATTTTGTGTTGGGGCAGCTCATATGTGTGCCATAGCAGTGTGAACAACCTATCTATGGTGTGGGTCCCCTGGCTTCAGTTGTGCTATGATTGGGACTAGGTGGCATGCCAATCTAGGTGGGTTGTTCTCTGCACACAGTAGTGGGAAATTTATTTCGAGTTCCTTCAATATGGGCTTTCCCTCGGCATTCCAGGGTTCCCTTCCCTTGGGGATTAAAGACTTATTCATCCCCCTGTTGAAATGGAATAAATATTCCATATTTTGTGACTTTCTTTTGGGGGAAATTTATGTCTATAGTACAGTTTTTGAAGACAAGTTTGTGCAGAAATCTTATGCCATGAGGAAATAAGAGCATTTGGGAAATAGGTGAGATACACTTCTGTCAATTGGTCCAGAAAAGCAGTTGGGAACTTCTTGGTTTCCTGGAATATCTGTATGACTTGAGACAAAGTGTGTGTCGCTTTGTAGCCACCCTGAGAGCACCCAATAAAGTATGGCAAAGAGACTCAGGGGCTCTTTACTTCCACCCAATTGGGGTCCCAGTTGGGCTACGGATAAGGGAAGGCTAATGGAATGACAGCGGGTATAGGGTTTGGCTGCCATGATCCCCAGGTCCTGCTTCCTAGACTCCCTTGCTATTCTTTCCTCTTTTCAATAAGTGGAGAGGATTAGCAGGGACACCTGATGGTCACCCCATGTGTACCAGGTGAGCATGCAAAATGATTTCTAACAGAGAAATCTTGGGGCTTCTCAGAGAATGTGGGAGTCTGGCTTTCCAGTTATACACGTCACTACTAGTGAATGGAGTGTAGACCCAATAAGGTTCTTGATTCTGGTTTCTCCCTTGTTTTATCACATGTATGATAGGGGCCTGCTAGAAGGGCAGGACGTGGGTCCTAGGCATCAAGATGTGGGCTGATAAGGCATCCTAGAATGGGTATGTCTGATGGTGGGGGGGTGAGGAAAGGGAATCAGAGTCAGAGGTGGATGCCAGGTTTTCCTCAGCTTTTGGGTAGAGGGGAGGTACCTCACCTTCTATCTCCTTTTTCTTTTCTGTGGGATAACCTTATTCTATACAACTGTCAAGGAGGTTTGGGGTCTCAGCTCAGCCTCAGGAAATTGTGGAAAACAGCTTAGGGAAGAAATGACCTGAGACCAAATGGAGATCCTGTTGCTAACTAGGATCATGCAATACAATCCTATTTTAATCATTCTGTGAGATCATTTTTTTCTACATGAAAGTTATAGCAAACTCACTCCACCTATCACCACAGCACCATTAATTGCAAACCATTAATTGCAAAGTTAGAGCCCATAGCCAAGAAGGACCATATTTTTGTTGAAAACAGGCCTCTAGTACAAGAATTATTTAGTGGGTCCAACCTGTGACATGTACCTGTGTCTGTGTCTGGAAATCTTAGCACCAAGAGACATCACTAGAGGAAAGGGTGTAGGGAGACAGGCACAAATGTTTGTTGTCATTCTTGCTGTTAACTGCACGCTCTCTGTACTTGAAGGCTGAAGAAGTTCTGCAGAAATTTTTGCGGTCCAAGGATGATTTGACTGATGCAATTCTACAGACAGACCAGACTCTGACAGAAAAGGAAAAGGAGAGTGAAGGTGAGGCACGAGTAAAGGAATTATCTGCCCTTGATAACTGTGGAATGTTTAAATTGCTTGTAAACCTGGGACCCTAAAGCAGATCTAAAAGAACAAAGGTGTACCTCACTGGCTAGTATCAGACATGTGTAGTACTATGATGTCAGCAGCAACGATGAAGCAGGTGAGGAGGAGATCATCACGTGCTGCCCTTACACCTTCCTTCTTGATTGCCTTCCCAGTGGAGCATTTGAAAGCTGAAGCTATGATGGCTACAGCAAAAATACAGCAGGAAATGCAGCATAAGGTTGAACAGTTGCTGCAACAGAAAGTGAAGAGTAATGAGGACCACATGAAAGAGTTGTCAGTGAAGATGGAGGAATTGAAACAGTCGAGGGACCAGTTGGAGGAAAAAAGGCCCAGAACATGGAACTGAAATATAAGAATGAACAGCTGCTGCAAAAGGAAAGGAGCCAGGAGGAGAAAATCGAACAGTTGACCAAGAAGTTGGGTGAACTGCAATGTAAGAATGAACAGCTGCTGCAAAAGGAAAGGAGCCAGGAGGAGAAAATCAAACAGTTGACCAAGAAGTTGGGTGAGACAAAGAAAGATTTGGAGGATGTGTCACAGGTATTTACATTACCAAAATGGTTCCTTCATTTAAAAAAATATTTTACCATGTGTGTCACTGTGTGTGTCTGTATTTGCAAATGTGCATATAGTATCTGTAGAGTCCCAAAGAGGGAGTCTAATTCCCTAGACCTGGTGTTATAGGTACTTGTGATTCCCCTGACTTAGATGCTTGGAACTGAATTTCAGTTGTAGCACGCACTTTATTGTGGAGCCACATATCCCGTCTTCTGTTCTCTCCATTTCTCTTTATCTTGAAATGGTAGGAAGCCCAAAATTTACAAAGCCTTCTCCCTAAATACCTGTTTGGTAGTCTGTTTCTTGTGTCTGGTGATTCAGTTAGTGATGTGTAATGGTGTCATGCTAAGTTCTTTAGTAATCCATATAAGTTATATTATGTCAGCTATGAGCTTTGTATTTTGTCTTGGTTTCTTTCTTAAGGCTATGAACCAAGAACTATATTCATATTACATAGAAGGAAGAAACACAGGTTTATTTAAGGTGAATAGGATATACAATCTTAGTACATTGGGAAGTGGAGGCAGAAGGATCAACAAGTCAAAGTCATCATCACCTATATAGTTAACTGAAAATCCACCAGATCAATAGCTCCTGTCTAAACAAAATCTCTAGTTATAAAACACATACACTGGATTAGACTGTTTTTCCTATAGTGGAATCCACAGAGGTAGTTTTTTCTATCTCACATGGTAAGAGTTTACTCCTAGGTGGGTATTTATAAGGAGAGGAACTATTTAACTCTCATAAGTATGTGACAGTCTGCCTGTCCCTCCTCTTTGCTATACTCTGCTCTTAATTTGTGTTCAGTAGGGAGTTAGATAAGGAAATTAATTATCTTTAGTCTGGCATGCAGATAGTTTTACTTGCATCTGTCACCATGTTACTAAGTTGTGGAAACTTACCTTAAATTTCTTCTTCCCACCCCTCCTCTCTTCTCTCTCCTTTTCTCTCTCTGAGTGTACACATGTGTGTGCATGTTAGTGCTTATCCATCTATGCACATGGATGTGAAAACCAGAGAACTACTTCCAATTTCCTCTGTCACCCCATGCTTATTTTTTTGAGACAGGTTCTCTTACTGAATATCGAGCTCACAGATGGGTCTTGTCTTGTTGGCCACTGTCTGTTAAGTTTCTAGGATCTGTGCATATGTGCCTTCCACATCTGGTATTACGGAACAGTGCTGTATGTAGCTCTTACATGGATACATGGGACCCTAGCAGAGATGCTCATGACTCAGGCACGCCCTCATCTCCACCCCTGAGTAAATTTCTTAGGCTATGATTCAGAGCCTTAGTGACATTTTCAGAATTCATTCCTATGATGCATGTTTACATAAGGGGTGAGGAGGAGGATGTATTAAAGTCTATGGTGATAAAATTTGAAGACAAACACATGATTTCCTACAGAGGTCATAGAGAACTGATGAAAAAATCAACACTGGTAACTTAGGTTCATTAATGGAACTGTTTCTTAGCTAAAATAACTCCAAAGAAAAACGATGACAGCTGTCCAAGAAAAGGCATAATTTGCGGAGGAGGCTAAAAATTCCAAAAAAGGAAAAAGAAAAGCAACCCACCAAACATTAAAATTTACTCACAAACAAAAGCAGCTTAAAATTATAATAAGCAATTAAGTTTTGAGTAAATTTTAAGAAATTAATATTAAAATTATTATGGAAACTGCATAGAACATAAGGATCAACTCAGTGTAATGATTCATTGTCTCTAAATGTCACTTTTTAGGAACGTGAACAACTACATGAGGACAATAGTAAACAACTAGAAGAAATACGTCATTTGAAGGAAAAGTCATGTGTCATAAGCTAAAGGTTTAAAGAGGAGTGCCATCCTGCCATTGGAAGCAGAGGTGAATAGGGTATAAAACTGGGAATGAGTAACTCTAGTTGAAAAAAAATATTTGAAGATACTCAGTGTGATCTTTGAAATCCTATTTCTCTTCATATAAGATTGTGCATCAAGGATTCCATTGACACCTTTACTACAAGAGAGGTACCAACAGCTCTACTCAGAAGAAATTAACTTTTCCAGATGATACCAAGGATGCCAATGAACACATCACATTCTTAAATGCTCAACCTTTCTGCAATGGCATGATTTGTGGACACTGGTGATGGATAGCCCTATCAACACACTCTATTATAAATCAAGACATCTGCATCAAGATCTGGAGTACCCATATGTAATATCTACAGAAAAATGGAAGAAGGCATTAGCATGACAAGAAGTTGAATCACATATCCATGGACCAAAAAAGAAATGTTTTATTTCACGTATATTGAGACTATAATGGGACATTTCCAAATTTTAACAGCTGACACTGATTACGTACTAACATGATGAAGTAAGCATAATGTAGAACAGTAACTTTAAAGATGGACTTTAAATGATGATGGGTAATCTACAGATATCAATGGAATTTTAATGATTCATCTGTAACCACAAACTTACACTACTCTATTCTTATGACTAGCAGCTGTATTTCAGATCCTGTTCAAAAATAAAGATTATTTTCCCATATTTTTAACAGCTTTTTGTAGTAAGGAGTATATCTAAAATATATAACAACTGCCAGAAGTGCAAAGTAAGTGGTTAACAGACTTTAAAGGGATTGAGAACTTTTGGGGGTGTGGTTCAGTGGGTAAAATGCTTGCTGTGCAAACATGAGGATACCAATTTAGATCTCATCAACCATGTAACAAACCAGACATGGTGGTACACAAATGTAGGCCTAGCACTGAAGTTGGGGCAAGGGTAGATGGGATAACTGGGGACTACTAGTCAGTCAGCACAGTCAACAGATGGGCTCTTGGTTCACCGAGAAACCCTGCTTTAAAAATAATATGGAAATCAATTGAGAACAGGGTCATGATGTTTTCTGGAAGTGGATGCAACCAGATGTAATCATATTAAGCAAATTAAATCAGTCTCAGAAAGACAAATATATGTTTTCTTGGATACCCACCTCCTGATTGTCTATATAGACATATGACAAATAAACAAGATAAGGTCATATGACACAGTACCATGTATAATGAATATGTGCAATGAAAATTATGAATACCATTTGTCGTCAACAAAGAACATTTTAAAAATAAACATTCTGAAAACTCCACATAAGTAACTTTGATAATTCAGATAAGTCAACTACTTTCTCAAAGAAAGCATAAAACATTAAACTCACTATATTTCTTATTCCTGAGTTGCTGCAACAAAATACTTGGCAAAAGCAATTCAAGGAAAAAAGGGTTAATTTTGGTTCACAGTCTAAGGGTCCTGTCTATCTTGACAGGGATATTACGGTGGCAGGAGTATGAGGAAGTTGTCTATGTTGCATCCATAGTGAGAAGACACAGAGAGATGAATACTGGTGGTTCAATCATTTGCTCCTTTTCATTTAGCCAGAAGCTCCAGATGATGAAATTCTCTGTGGACAGTTAGGGTAGTTTTGACACCTCTCTTCCCCCACAGATATGCTTGAATGTGTTTCCCCTGGGCATTTCAAGATCTTATCAAGCTAATAACCATTATGATTAACTGTCATACTCTTTTAGGATAAACAAGGTCACCTGAATTATATATGCTCAAAAATTAGTTTTGTAGCTTAGAAAAAAGCTACTTGTAGTTAACTATGAGTGTATAGTTCCTGGTAATTACCAGGGTATGTGAAAAATCCACAAACTTGGCAAGAGCTAGACTTTTCCAATTGAGGGGAAAATTAAGGAAACACCGACACTTTCTGGTGGTAACTTTCTCTTTATTTCATCTTGAAAAGTCCTCTCTGAAAAATCTCTGTGTCTCTCCTCTTAGTTTACATCCTTCTCTTTGGTCTCTCTCTCTCTCTCTCTCTCTCTCTCTCTCTCTCTCTCTCTCTCTCTCTCTCTCTCTGTCCCACCTTTGCTGCTCTCTTTCTTCCTGCATTCATGCTGCTGTCTGCAACCTTCTAGCTCCCTACATTGCTACTGCCTCTGCCTCCTTGCCTTCTCCTCTGTCTCTTCTCTCCCAGAGCCCATCTCTGGACAATTATAAGTCACATTTTTAGGGCCTGGCCCCTTCTCAATCCCGAAGCAAAGTCCCATAGTTTCTCTCAGGCTAGGAATGTCACAATTACCAGGCAATGTGAAGAGTCCTAAAAGTTAGCTCTCAGTTGGTGTGGGTCCCCAGGAAACATGTAAAATATTGGCTGAACCTTGAGGTTGGGAAGTACATACAGACTAAAGTTACTTCAAACTCTGCCTTGAATCAGAATAGCAACACCTGGGGAAATGACCTTGTGTGTGAGTCTCCAGAAACAACCAGTTATTGTCTCCAATGGCAACTAGCCTGCTTTGAATTTGCTCTGAAACCTAAAGTTAGCTTGTCTGTGTAAAAGGCTCTCTTTGTAACTGAAAATCCTATGTTAGTCTGAGTAATGTAAAATATCATAGCATTATTTCTTTTCATCAAAATTACACTGCCTAAGCATCATCTTCCTGATCATCCACAGCTACATGTGTGCCGAGCAAATATAAAACACAGTACCACAGGGTTGTGGAAAGAACTCCACTGCTGTTCTTATTAGTGAGCCATAGTAGCAGTACCTGAGAAAGTTATAGGAACAATCATTCAGTCAACAAACCCCTGGCTTTGCCATGTGGTAGTCCCCAATAATGCCTAGTGAGTCAGCTTTGCCAAGTACGACTTTTCAACACTAGTTGTCACTGTTCTATTCCAAGGGCCATCTGCAGCTACTTCCCTGGATCCAGGAGGCTTTTTATTACTGCACATGTAAAGAAGAAATAATACAAATTCTACAGAGTTTCTTTCAGAAAATGCAAGAGTAATCATTTCCTAATTAATTCTATGAGACCAGCATTGTCTAGATACCAAAGTCAGTTAAAAAACAGTAGAAATCAGAGAAACCATAGATCAAAACGTTTCATGAAACTAGATGCAAAGCTCCATGACAAATCATATCAGCCAGAAAATCCAGGAAGGCACCAAAATAATTTATTTACATTAGGCTGGATTTATCCTAAGAAAATGACTGAAGCACAAACATGTAATTCAATACACCGAAAACTTAAGAAGACAAAACAAAATGCTGGGTTTGGCAAGCAGCTACATAAAACACCTGACAGCGCACCTGTAGTGACAAGTCCCCCATATTAGCAGCCATGACAGGCTAACATGTGCTTTCATGACCTTGCTGCTCCTGTCCTGGTCACTAGGAGGTCAGATGCCCTCTTCATGGCAAGGAACCAATCAGAAGTTAGCTTGCAGTGCTGTGCTTTACGGCTCTGGGCGTGCTTTACGGCTCTGGGCGTGCTTTACGGATAGTGCACAACAGTGATGTGCAGAACATAGCAACCACCCCGGGAGGGCCTATGGGCCATAACAACCAGTTGACCAATAAATACAGGGCAGGTCACCCAAACCTGGAAGCACACCAGTCCTGACTGTTTCATACCCCTAGACACTCCCCTTATGCTGCCCTTGAGGTTGCCTGGGGTCTTTCTCCAGCCATCCGCCATGGTGGTGGGGTGAAGGGCCCAAGCTAATGGGGTTACCTTGTTAAACAGCTGCAATAAAAGACTCGTTGCTTTTGCATCGATATGGGCCTCTTGGTGATTTTGGGGTTCAGAATTTGGGCACAACACACCCACGAACAATAAGTTAGTCCCCAGAGCAGTGTAAGTCTTCTCTTTTGTTTCATTTAATTTGGGGGTTGGGGATGGTTACTGCTTGTTGTGTTATTTGTTTTGATATAATGTTTTTACACTGCTCAGGCCACATATACATATGCATGAATTCTTCATTCTCCATATCTCAGGTATTGGGATTGTAGGTATGCCCCACAACAGGCCAGAAGTCAACTTATTCAAGACAATAAAGAACAGTTACAAAAGCCTTCACCAGCATCATATCTGACGAGACACTAAATGTTTGCCCCTCTGACCTAAGAAAAATCCTAGGGCTTCCATTCTCACCACTCACAATCAACCTGACACTGGATCCTAAAGGCATGTGGATCAGAAAACATAAAATAAAGCTGTCGTATTGCAGACAATATGTCTTTGAAAATCCCAGGGAATCTACAAAACTATTCTAATAGCTAATAAGTGAGTTTCCTAAATCTGTGAATTCAGATTAACTGACAGTCTGTCTCAAAACATAAGGTGGCTAGTTGCTATGGACTGCAGATTTATGCAGCGAGAATTCAGCACAAACTTCAGGGGTCAATCCATGACAGATTGCTTATATCTTGAAGGACACACCTCATTTAGCAAGGCAATGAGGAATATTGTCAACAGAGATGCATATCTCAGCCTTGTGTGCAAGACAATAAGGAATGCGGCCTTCTGAATGTGACAGTTGTCTCCACTGCAGATCCGTGTGTGAAGATCTCTTTCTCTCCATTACAGCTTGGGGATCCTTCCCACAGCATTGCAGTGTGTTAGTTGTTTACTGAACATGTATTCCGTGGATGGTCTGGAAGATGACTTTTCATTTAGTTATATAGATTTGACATGCGGAATACATATTAGACATGCTTCATAACTGGATCTATTTGTCCCACAAGGACTATGGACTCTAAACCACCTTTGTTTTTTTGCTCAGATTACCACACACAATTAGCTCACTTTAACCTCAGAGCAGGTTCAAGCTACACCAAAGGCTTATGTAAAAACACATCTTTACAGCTTGTACAAGGTCAGAGTCACAGATGTCTTCCAAGGTTACTAAGAACAGCATGCCAATTCTTCACTTGTCAGTTTAATAACAATAGATCTGTATTAAAGTTATCACTGGGCACTGTGCCCTCCCTGACTGGTCATGGTTTTGCTCTTATGGCCTTGGGCCCTTGTGTTGTCTTGGTAAATGGCTCATGTCCTTACTGCTTCCTCTAGGAACATACTTTTAACCAACGAGAGAAACTTTTTTTATCACTTCAGTGATCTTTAAGGAGAAGACCTTTTAGAATAAGAAAAGCAGCTAGAAGAAGAAGCATGGACAAGTTAGAAGTAGGACAGTATTATTAGAATAGAAACAGAAAAATAAAGAGCACAACCCTCAGATTGTGTGTGAAATTAATATAGAAAACTGAAGCGTTTCACCTTTGGAACCCTGGGTAAGGGCTGGAGCAGGCCTCTTACCACTAATATGCAAAAATGAAGTTCTTAATTGGTCTAGATAAGAAAAGACAGGAGTCAGATACAGAGGCAAATGCTGAGAGTTCATAGAGAAGGAGCAAGCTATAGCACACCTTACCTTGTAAGCATCTCGTCAGAGAAAAGACCGATTTCCTGTTTGTCCCTGCTTTTGTCCTGATTCTGCCCAACTATGTCACTTCCTGCCTGTCCGTACAGACCTCCAGACCTCTTTGGTTAGCTAGTGCCGTGCTCCATTCTCTGACCTGCAAACAGGCTTTATTTGTGCAAGAAAGATATCACCAAATATCCTTCTTTTGTCTAATTTTTAAAAAGGTTATAACTAATATGAGAAAAACTGTGTACAATAAAACAATAACTATAATGCCG